CAATAAACAGACTGTTCAAAAAACATGGTTTAATTGTAGTAAAAGTGTAGTAACCATGTTTTTTGGCGTATTGATTACCATTTGTATAACCACAGTTTTACTACATATACCATGGTTAAACTATGGTTAGTGTAGCAAAATCATGGTTTATTTAAACAATTTTATTGTAACAATTTAATTGATGTTCAACAAATAAAAAACAGATATAATACAGATAAACAAATGATAAGGCTTGGCTTAATGAATATTAAATCCCCTTCTACACAAGTGCTTTTTGTAAATGACATGATCACAGATCATAACTTAGATGCATAACATGTGCTCTGTTTGACAGAAACCTGGCTAAAACCAGATGACTACATTACTTTAAATGAATATAACTTGTTTGATGTAATTGTGTTTCATATAATATTATCCAGAGAAATAAGTGTTAATGCTAAATCCCCTGTGACGTTTATACTGGCTACTGTATACAGGCCACCAAGGCACCATACAGACTTTATCAAAGAATTAGCAGATTTTCTGAGTTAGTGCAGGCTGCAGATAAAGTTTTAATTGTTGGTCATTTTCAAGTCCAATCAGTATAATCAAACACAGCTGGACTCAAATGAAGGTGTAGAACCATCTCAAGGATGATCAGAAGAAATGGACAGCACCTGAGTTAAATATATGATAGTCACAGCAAAGGGTCTGAATACTTAGGACCATGTGATATTTCAGTTTTTCTTTTTTAATAAATCTGCAAAAATGTCAACAATTCTGTGTTTTTCTGTCAATATGGGGTGCTGTGTGTACATTAATGAGGAAAAAAAATTAACTTAAATGATTTTAGCAAATGGCTGCAATATAACAAAGAGTGAAAAATTTAAGGGGGTCTGAGTACTTTCCGTACCCACTGTATATATATATATATATATAAACCCTAGTTGTTAGTTGTGTGTATGTTAGAATAGCCTAAGCATATAAAAAAACAGAGGTGTTCATTATAGAACCAAAAACCTCCGCATGTAATAACCTAGAACAGGGTTTTTTAAACTTTTCAGCCCACGACCCCCAAAATAACGGTGCCAGTGACTCGCGACCCCCACTATCCTCGGAGGTGGCTAAAATATACAAACGTTGCACGCAACGGCGCACATGCACCAATAGGCTTATCCAAACATGAGCATAATGACAACACAAAAGAACACAACGGTCTAACAACCAAATACTTTTTTATAGTAATTTACTCATTCGTTTCATTTCAACATTAACCTCACCTAATGAGATGGGTGGGCACAATGCTTGGAGCACAACAAGTCCATTCTTGGTTTAATTTTGGAGACTGCCACTCGGAGATCATCCTCTACGTTCAGTCGCGACCTGTATTTACATTTAATGTATGTGAGTGCCCGAAAAAGTCTTTTTGCAAAAGTAGGTAGTGCAAAACGGCATCTGTACATCCATAGTGGCCTTGGATAGCTGAGGGTATTTCCTCTCGACTGAAATCCAAAACTCAGCCAGTGTCTTGGAAATAAACACTGTCTTCAAGGTTCGGTCGCTTGACAGTTCAACCAGCGTCCTCCAGGTCGGATGTCAGATGATTTGCCCTCGTTATAGTGAATGGTGATCTTATCCAGTCATATTGTTTTGGAGCTGTTTCTTCTCGGAAATACCTGTTAAAGTGTTCCAGGAGGGCTTGAAGGTGGGCAGTGATAGACTTCTTCACTATGTTAACACTCAGTTCGTTTTCCTCCATGAATTCTTCCAGCTCAGAAAACATATCAATCCTACCCATTTCAACTCGCTCAGTCCAGTGCTCAAGTTTTTTCTTGAATACGTGGATTTTATTATTCAGCGACATGATGTTTGTGTTTTTACCTTGCAAATTTGCATTTACCTATGAATTTATATTAAATTCATTCAGTTTTTCAAATATGCAAGCCAAATACGCTAGCCTTGTTAACCAGTCAGGATCAGTGAGGTGGTCAGCGAGCTGGGACCCATGCTCCATCAGAAATAAGCGCACTTCGTCCCGCAGCTCAAACAGGTGGCTGAACACATACCCTCGTGAAAGCCACCTGACGTCTGTATGGAATAGCAAGCACTCATGCTCTGATCCCAGTTCGTTACAGAGAGTGGCAAACAGTCTGATATCATTTTTATATAGTTGACCAAGTCTCAAGAACACGTTTAAGTTCTGGGTCAAGTGTTTTGCTCGCAAGAGCTTCTCTGTGTATAATACAATGCATGAATTTTACGTGAGGCGCCACTAGTAAGACTCTTGCTTTAAGACCTTTCTTTTCCCCCAGCATCGCTCCACCACCGTCTGTACACACACTGATGCACTTGCTCCAAGACAGTCCATCTTCTTTTAGTTTGTTGTCGAGTTTTGTGAAAATGTCCTCACCTGTGCACGTTCCCTTCAGTGGAGCGCAAACAGAATGTCCTCGTTAAGTTTTCCATCAAAACTGTATCTGATGAATACAAGCAGCTGGGCAGAGTTTGATACATCTATGGCTCCGTCTAAAGCATAGTGTAAAGCATATTTCCCTTTCTTCACTCTGTCCAGCAGCTGACAGTTTATGTCCTGGGCCATGTCGGAGATGCGTCGGGCAACAGTCCTGTTAGACAGCGGCACTGATTCTATGCATAGCCCGACTTATATCTATAGCAGCGGGTTTAATGAAGGTTTCCCCAATCGTGTGTGGCTTTTTTGCCTGTGCAATTAAATATGCCACCTCATATGATGCCTGTTGAGCTTTGGCAGGTATTGTTGTTTGTTTAGTTAGGACTTTATTTTGGCCTTGTAACTCTCGCTCCTTTTGCCGGAAAAAATCTACTGGTTTAACAGTAAGAGAGGGGTGCTTGGTTTTCAAGTGTCGTAGCATTTTTACAGGCTTTAGGCTTTCAAGTGCAAGCACCTCAGTGCACACAACACATTGGGGATGTTGTACTTCGTTGACGATGACACATGTGAATCCATACTGGATAAATTCCTCTCGATACTTTCGACACTTAGAGTAAGGATGATCCGACTGCTTATGGATGTCCTCACACGCCGCTCTCTTTCCGTACCTGAGGTCGATGGCCTTTCTGATTGTGGTGCTTCTCTGCTTTCCTCCGCTGGCCTCTCTGCTGGCCTCCCTGCGTTGTCTTTGGTCGATATTAACCAACGTTTCATTTCAACAAAAATAATATCCTAAGCCTAAAGCAAAAAAAATTACCTACGTGCACATGTCGGAATGTTTAACATGGTGCTGTAAATTGATCTGCTGCAACTGATGCTATTGCGGTGTCGTTAATCTGTTGTAATCACCTCAGGGGTCGCGATCGAACGGAAAGAAAATTGAAAGGCTGATGGCTTTTTTGTTTTTTTTTAAATGTAACTATTAACTACTATTTTTTGATCTTTTGTTATTTATGGATAAAATATGTTATTTCTAATAGTTACAAAATTTTATTTGATTTCTGGAAATCATATCGCGACCCCCCCCTCACTGTCTCACGACCCCTGCATTGGGAACCACTGACCTAGAACACTGTCTAACACTTGATGGCTGCTCTGTCAATTCTTCATCATCAGTTAGGAACCTAGGTGTGCTATTTGATAGCAATCTTTCCTTCGAAAGCTACATTTCTAGCATTTGTAAAACTGCATTTTTCCATCTCAAAAATATATCTAAATTACAACCTATGCTCTCAATGGCAAATGCAGAAACGTTAATTCATGCGTTCATGACCTCAAGGTTAAATTATTGTAATGCTTTATTGGGTGATTGCTCTGTGTGCTTAACAAACTCCATCTAGTTCAAAATGCAGCAGCTAGAGTTCTTACTAGAACCAAGAAGTTTGATCATATTAGCCCGGTTCTGTCAATACTGCACTGGCTCCCTATTAAACATCATATACATTTTAAAATCTTGCTAATTACCTATAAAACCCTGACTGGTTTAGCACCTCAGTATTTGAGCGAGCTCTCATTGCATTATAGTCCTTCATGTACGCTATGATCTCAAAACTCTGGCCATTTGGTAATACCTATAATATAAAAATCCACTGCGGGATGGCAGATCCTTTTCCTATTTAGCTCTCAAATTCTGGAACAATCTACCTAACACTGTTCGGGAGGCAGACACACTCAGTTTAAATCTAGATTAAAAACCCATCTCTTTAACCTGGCTTACACATAACACACTAACACATTTCTGTAATTCAAATCCGTTAAAGGACTGTTAGGCTGCATTAATTAGGACAACCGGAACCAGGAACACTAACATCCGATGTACTTGTTACATCGTTAGAAGAATGTCATCTATGCTAATATTAGTATGTTTCTTTCTTATTCCGAGGTCACCGTAGCCACCCAGATCCAGACTGTATCCTGATCAGATGGTCACTGCAGTCACCCGGATCCAGTCTGTATCCTGACCAGATGGTGGATCAGCACCTATAGATGACCTCTACAGCCCTGAATGTCAATGGAGACCATGTCAACTAGATGAGCCCCAGAGACCAATCCCCTCCGAAGACCTTGTCACCTAGACGGCCATCGGGACAAGACCACGGAAACCAGATGAGTCCTCTGCACAATCTGACTTTGTTGCAGCCTAGAATTAAACTGCTGGTTTCATCTGGCCAGAGGAGTACGGCACACTATTTCGACACATTATTTCCCTGTTTAATACTGTACACAATCTTCATTGTGAAAAGTGCTATATAAATAATGCTGACTTGACTTGACTCTTGTGTAGTTTATAAAGTCTTGTTTGTATCACATTTTGAGTGTTGGCGGGACATCTAAGACTGATTATGTCAGGAATCTCCCAAACATCCCAGCAGGCACAGGATATATACTGTATAATATATAACGTCAGGTTGACTTTGGACATGACGTCGGACAGATGTTAGTAGTGATACCCAACGGCATATGTCAACTTGATTGATGGCTTTGACTTTTGTGACCTTTCCCCCTCCCCCCACGTAGTGACCGCCCACGTTGCGACCACCCACGTTGTGTTGACCCGGTGACCTATCCAGATGTGAAAACCGGCATATGTGAAATTCCAACGTCAACCTTTGACCTCCGGGGATGACAAATGATGTTTGTTCAGCTGTATGTATGTGTCCGAGCGGTAATGAATCAATAATGAAGACCTTAGGAATGTTTTGAAGATTTTAATGGTCCGTTCCCACATCCGGGGGGTTTGCATCATCTGGGTCCGAGTGTCCGGTTGCATTCCGAGGCATGCTTAGATAAATAGACCCTGGCACTTCTGTGGAAAATCAGAAAAGAGCTGTGAAACACATAGACATGGCCGGTTTATACGCACCTAAAACTCCCGAGAAGGAATGGGGTGTACAATAAACAGAATAAATAAACAATTTTAACAGATTCTATCTCTCATCCTCTGTCGCTGTATGGGCTATGTGAGAAAGATATTGGTTTTAAGGTCGATAATAAGTAGACAATTTTAAACAGTTTGTGAGAACAGATCACAATATGTGTGACCACACATATAATCTGATGGTTGTATAAAAGAATTTAAATAAAATATGTAACATGAATAATATTGAAATTGGGGGATAAAACAATAAAAAATATAAATACCCTTACATTATTTTGGTAGAGATGATGACCATTCTCAGAATGAGAGGTTCCCCAAAATTGTGTTTAGTTTAAGCTGGAAAAGCTCTCTCTCTCTCTCTCTCTCTCTCTTTCCCTCACAGACACACACACATGCACACACAGACACATGCACGCACTCGCACACACGCGCACACACTGTCATTCTGATAAACTGAAATAAAAATGTTTAGCCTAATAAATAAATAAAGAAATGGGGAAAATCCCTTACATTTTACAGGAAGTGGGAACCAGAATATGCCATCGCGTTATTTCAGTAACGTCTCAAACGAAATGTTTAAGATCTGTATCCCCTCTAAGTCTGTCAAAATCCCCAGGAGGTCCCCAGTGGACTGTGACGGTATGACATGGAGCAAGACAAATTTTGCAGCTTCGAATCGAATTTCAAGCGGGTTTAGAAATGTTTGAATTATTCAGTTAATATTACATTTATTCATGCGTTTTAAATATGATCTAGACTTGTTTTTATTTCACAGTGTTTTGGGTGCACAGTGTTTTGGCTACAAGGATCATGACCATCTATCTTTCCTATTCTAACTTGCAGAAAATTGTAGCGGAGAACATAGTTGGAATGTTTACACATGTAATTTGAGAGTCGAGGTCTTTACAGCCGTAAACCATTTGCCTTTACAGCCGTTACGCTTTGTTTTAAGAAGCTTGTTTAAATAACAACAAGACCTCTTTACATATGCTTTGGATTTAACCGCGATGACATAAATATTCTTAATTTAGACACGGTTATAAAATACGCAGTCCTAAGGTATCAGGGCATTTTTGCTCTCTCTCTCTCTCTCTCTCTCTCTCTCTCACACACACACACACACACGCGTGCACATTTAATCGCCCAGAATCTTATTCTCTTCTTTTAAATGAAAATAAACAAATTAATTATGTGATCGCATATGATATAAAACAAAGGAAAACATTTACACTAGTTTTAGTCATCACAAAAAATATAAAAACGTTGTACATTTTACCAGGATCGGGAAAAAAAATTATATATATTTTAACAGGTCAAACGATAAGGACTATTGGGGGCCCGGACATGTCCGGTCATGTTTATGGAGACTTTACATTGACATAATTCAATTAAATTTTATTCATGTTTATTTGTATAAAATTTTCACAAACCAAATTGTCGCTACGCAGTTTCACAGAAAATTAAAGTTTCTACATCATATTTATATTTACATTATATTCATAAATTTTATACACTATCATCCCTTAAACCTACCATTACAGTAAACATTCTAAATTTTTTTTATATTTTCAGAAATACATTTAGTATAATTTATCATTTAAAAAGCTGTTATGCTCATGGGGACAATCATTTGGAGTATTATTACACTCCATTATGACACTCCATAGACATAATGATTTTTTACTGTACAAACTGTACACCTACCATCACACAAAAAATTCTGCATACATACATTTTTAATTAAATATTGTTTTTAAGCGATCCGAATTATGAGGACTTAAGAAATATCCTCATAAACACATTTACCTTGTTATATCAGTGTAATATTCATGTCATTATACAAATTTGTGTTCTGATAAATCATATAAATAAGCACACACATAAACATTACAAGCTAAAGAGAGTCTTATCTCTATTTTAAAGAATACGGAAATAAATAATTATATATGAAGGCATGTTTTCCTACATGATGAAAAGCAGTATGATTAAACAATGACGTAACTTTTGTTTGAACAAATTAGTTAAATGTTGTAGATTTTTCAAACCTAAAACCATGATGCTCCAATAAATGGGGTTAGTAGTAGTCAAATGAGCCTCTGATGAATGCAAGGCGCTTACAGAGAGTTTTCTTTATGAATTAGACCTAAATTAGACTGAAAATCAGTTGTCATAACTGTTTTTGTTTGCAACAAAAGCACTTTTTAAACAAGGCGCTATGAATGTCTCACAGAATTTTTACAACAGATAAAACTTTCTTTCTCAATTTAAACAAGGTATTATTAACCATGATGGCTCATAAACAAGCCTCGACCCAAATTGAAGCATTCTAACAATCATTGCAGAAAATTTATTATAGCACAGATAAAACTTTCTTTCTCAATTTAAAAATGGTATTATTAACCATGATGGCTCATAAAACAAGCCTCGACCCAAATTGAAGCATTCTAACAATCACTGCAGAAAATTTATTATAGCACCGCGGTAAGATATAACTCTGGATGTGTGATTGACCAACTTATCAGATGTTCAACATATTATTACAAGTCCCTGCTTACCTAGTTTATGATGAAACTAAAAAATATAGGCATGAGCTAGCAATCACCTTGGATAAAATCAACAGCAGTACAGAGTATGAAAAGACAATGCAGAAAAGCTGAGCAGATGTGGCGGAAGACGAAACATGAAATTCACTATAGCATCTATAAAGACAGCCTTCATGCT